ATTTTTATCTAATATATATATGACTTTTTATTGATTGTTATTATTATCTATTTGTATTTTGAATATTTTTAAATTGTCTAATTATTAAACGTAAACAAAATACCTACCCCAGCGTATAAAAGCAAAGCACATAGCATCATCCATTACTTGTCTGATGATCGGCGTGAAACTTAAAGTCAAAATCAAGCGCATACACAGACGCGACGCCGTCTTGCTTTCCGCGGTGGTGAAAGCACCAAGAAAGCACCCAGAAGACGTGGTTGGATGCGTGACCAAAGAATAATGAGATAGTTCTGACATCACCTTATCTTTGTTGTCGCTGCAAAGTAACTTTTTTTTTCATTATTATCGAATTGATTTCTTCCGTGGTAAGACATCAACGAAAAGGTAAGGCGTACGCGTAGGCGCTATATTATAATTTTTTCGTGACCACCGCGAATACATCGCGCACCGCGATAAAAATTGAATTGTAATTGAAAATTGCTTTCGTAAAGAACCCGAAGAAAGTTACTTCAAATTCAATATTAAGTATGAACAATTAAGGAATTCATTGAATCAATAGACCCTCATAAACACAACAAAGTGAACGTTTATTAGAAATATTCTAGACCTATTTTAAGGACTCAAGGAACACATTTAGATGCAGGCCGCCCGGGCCTCCTCCTGCTATTACCAAGAATGAGCTGTAAAAAACTAAAATTTATAGACGGCGAATGACTTATAAAGCAATTAATAGAGCATGCATCGTACACTAAACGGAAAATTATTATACTTATGTTAGATTTAATGCATTCAAAAATTTCCTTCGGGCGTTGCAGGCCCTCAGGAAATTTTTTCAAGCATTAAATCTAAACTTCGCACAATAATTTTACTACTGTATGGTGTACTATTTCTATTATTTCTACTAATTGCTTAATAATAATAATAATAATAATAATAATAATAATAATAATAATAATAATAATAATAATAATAATAATAAATTTTTTCAAGCATTAAATCTAAACTTCGTACAATAATTTTACTACTGTATGGTGTATTATTTCTAATATTTCTACTAATTGCTTAATAATAATAAGAATAAGAATAAGAATAATACAAAAAAATAAAAATAAACGAAGCAACTGAACAACAAATAAAATGATCAACAATAAAATCATTTATCTGTCTAGCGCCTTCTATTTGTACGTCATCATGATAACACAGACGCGACGCCGTCTTGCTTTCCACGGTGGTGTGAAAGCACCAAGAAAGCACCCAGAAGACGTGGTTGGATGCGTGACCAAAGAATAATGAGATAGTTCTGACATCACCTTATCTTTGTTGTCGCTGAAAAGTAACTTTTTTTTCATTATTATCGAATTGATTTCTTCCGTGGTAAGACATCAACGAAAAGGTAAGGCGTAGGCGCTATATTATAACTTTATTATTTGAAGCTAGATAGGTATTAGGTATCTAGGCCTAGCCTTCTTGTCATCCTCTCTCCACCCTCCTTCCTGCTGTACCTAGGGCCTAGGCTACTATTGTAGTTCTAGCATCCTTCACGCGTAGTCTAGGCCTAGGCTTATAATATAATAACAATAATATGTCGGTCTTGTATAGCGCTTCATGCATAAAACCTCTAAGTATATACATATACTGTACATAGGCCTAGGGCCTAGCCTAGGCTTTAACAGCTTAGGAGGCCTAGGCCCAGGCCAAAAAGAAAACTTCTAGCCTAGGCTAGGCCTAGGCCTATATTGACTTATTGTGTCTCATTGATTGGTCAGTCTTTTGTCAATCATCAGATTAGGCCTGAGGCAAGGTTGCTAGATAGTCAACAGGCTCCAAGCCAAACACACGCCATCTTGCGTCCAAATTTGGCCAAACTTTTTTTCGATATCGGCCAGTAGATTTTGAACGGATAAGTTTAAAATAGTGGGTAATGTCAGTTAAAATTTTTTTAAATGACACGACTAACACGGTGGCCATTACTGTAGTTTGAAATTGAAGAAATCAAAATCATACAGTCAACTCTCCCAATACCGACCACCCTTCGGACCATCCACTTTGACCGGTTTTCCGGATGGACCAGTTTAGAGAACCTCATGTTTACCTACCTTGGTTCCCCGACCTTGAGTCGATAATAAGCCTAGGCCTAGCAAGGTACAGTAGATAGGTACACCACACTGCATCATGTACCGTGTAGGCATACTGACCTGAGATCATCAATTAAAATTCATGTTTTACTTAAATTAAATTTACACAAATCAACCTAATGTGTATCGTTTTTTATAATAAGTGTCAGTGTTATTTTTCGTTCGATCGCCATAATCTGCTTTGCTTCATCGAGGTTGCACACTTAATTGGTTTTGATGCCGCTGGTATAACCTTGGTGGGTCACTGAATGCTAAAAATAAGTGCTAACTTATGCAGCGCCCCCTAAACTGCGTCAGCCAATAGAAAACAGTCAGAGGTGACAGTCAATGTGTCATGTGCAATTGTTTTTATGAAGTCAATAGCCTTTTGTTGGGACCGCTTGTTTTGCCTTAGCGTGAGAATGAATGCAAAATGTGAGAAAAGGATACGTTCCTTTTAAAGAAAACACACTCATGAACTTTTTTTTTATCAGATTATTAAACAAATGAAATCTAGGCTTATTGCAATTAATTAATTAATGCGCTATCGTCGTGTCACATGATCAACACTAACGATCGTACACGTGGTGTTGTTCTGTGATTGATAGTTGTTTTTTGCAGTCAGTCGATGTGTCCCCAATGATTTATTTAACATATTTCGTCAATAAATCATCGTTTTAAACTGGCCGTCCGGTTTTCAGAAGGTAATTTTATTGTTCCGGACTTAAGAATTTGGCCGGAATTGGGAGATCCGGTTTTCAGAAAGTATTTTAATACAGTAAGAATTGGAATGATTTTGGGACTGTAAAAAACGACCGGTTTTGCGTGAAATCCGGTTTTCAGCGTGGTCGGTATTGGGAGAGTTGACTGTACTGTACAGTGAAAGTCTGTTTCACTGTTTTTGTTTTGTTCTTATAATTAATTCACCACTCAAATCAAATGCCCAGCTACTGTACATTATTATTATGCCTATTAATGCTCTTTAATTAGTTGCTTGCATTCATGTAGGCCTATTTCAAATCAAATTATAAAGATTGATCTCAGTGCTAGCACATACCTATTAAAGATTAATGCACTTGTCAATTGTAGTCCCGGGTCCCCCGGGCCATAGCAGGTCACTTGCCGAAACTGAGCCGGGGATGTACACATAGTTGTGTCCCCGTAGTGCCGGGACGTACCTAAAATTTACCCGTAGATGTAACAGGCCTCGAAAGGGCCAGGAATTTTACACGTAGAGTAGCCGAGGTTTCGGGTGTGTAGTCCTAGACTAGTGCTGTCAAACCGGGTCTGGTCCTACTCTAGCCTACACTGGCTTGGCATTCAGTCAACACTGTCTGTTTTGGTAATTAAAAAATCGCTTACCGGTACTTTAGGTTTACCATTTATACCGTTTATAAATTACATAATAAAAATTGAACCTCCAACCTCACAACGCTGAGGACCGAGGTGGCGGCGTGTGTGAGTAGTGTGTTGCGCCAAAAATATGCCAGTACGTGAGCCAAGGCACCTGTTCTACTATTGTAATGTATTCATTTTCTTATTTAGGCCTAATTTCTGTTTTGATATTGAATAAATTCCATCAATCAGTTATTATACAATTAATCAATTATTTTCTTTTTCTATGATCAATCTGTCAATGTGTCTCCTTTTTGTTCGCACTTTTCCAAACTTCCATGCTGCATAGTGATATGCATGCGTAATGCTTCCATCAAGCAAGCTCATCTACTTGGACTAGCTCCTGCCTAGCTCTCGCGTGCTTCTCCAATTTAGACGTAGACTAGATTTACACATGGGTTGGTATATGTTCAAAGGGTGTCCCCACTTGTACCACTCAAGTGTACTACCGGCAACATACTGTAATACAACAAACATACATGCGTCATTTGTGCGTTAGATTCTAGATGTATCTTCCCCAAACTACCAGCCATTGAGTCTGTGGTTCTACAATGTATAATAAAGAAGTTATAAACGCTAGAATGTTACCCCGATTTTGACGAGTATACTCGTCCCTGGCGCCCTCAGTATACTCGTCCCTGGCGCCCTCATGGTGAGTATACTCATCGCTGTCAGCCATCGTGTTAAAGGTTTTTAAAAATATTGAATAACGTACATTGTTGTCGATTACTTTATAGCAGTAATGTAAAGGAGTCACCTGTTAACGAATCTGTTTAATTACAGTGAAAATTACATTAGATAAACTGGTGTTAATACAAAGCTATTAAAACTTTAATAAATACTTTATAACTGTCTTTTATCTAAATTCGCCTCTGAAAAAGTTATTTTTGCAGTTACTTAAAGCAATATATCAATGTCGCAATTAGAATCATAGGCCTTTGATCAAGATAAACAACTTCTCCAGGGTAACTTCGAATAAGTTTCTATCACTTTCCTTGAAATTGAAGGTGCGATCGGACCCGACGAATCATCGCATTGATGATTTATAATGGCACTCTACATAAAAAGCACCTACTGTAGCATTAAAAATTAAGTGGGATATAATAAATTAAATTATTTGATATGTTTTATTATATTCAATCAGAGGTGGCGCCAGGATTTGCCCTGACAAGACAAGGGGTCTGAGGTGTGGGAGGGAGTGATATCCCTGATGAGAGCAAGTGGGCGTGGTCAGGCTTCACTCAAAATGTTTAAAAAGTGATGTGTGTGTGTATATGTATGCTGTCTCTTATACACATCTAGATGTGTATAAGAGACAGGTCTAGCACTAAAGTTTAATTGCGCGAAGGATACAGTACCTAAAAATCGCTAGGTAAATAGGTGTGCGCGTAATCGTAATTGCTGCATAATTGCATTGGTTATATATTAAAGATCAAAGCCTAATTTTCGGCAAAATCTGAGCAGAAATCGGCCCTCCTTTTGCAAGATGCGCAGACGGGTTTCTAGGCCAAATTATTGCGCGAAGGAAAGGTCTACATTCCGCACGCAGGCCATAAACTACTACTCTAAGCTAGTGATCCTTTTGCCTTTAAAATGCAAAAAGCGCTTGCCAAGGGCATGCCTCGCCGAAAATGAGATTAAAAAAGGCGCTAATTGATACGGTTTTATTATTATTAATTACAGCATTATCGTAGCCTTTCTACTTTGCATATCACTTGGGTTTTGGACAGTTATAGGTAGGAGCCGCTAAGTTAATGTGGTTGTTTTGTAAACGGCTATGAGTATGTATGATGAATGAAGGGAGGTCCCATTTTATCTTTTATTCATTAAAACATCGGGGAAATTTAGGTATATAAAATCAAATAAACTAAGAAATTCTCATAATTTAAACTCATCATCATTAAAACTCAGTAAACATTACCAACCTTTTCGTAAAAAAACGTCTCCAGTCTGGCTTGGCCAGTTTGTTTGATTTGATCATTTGATTGATTCCAGAGCGAACAATTCATTGGAAAACTTTTGCGAACGATAGTCCGCCTAAGCTACAGGAATTTATACAACTCAGACTCTCATTCCAGACGTATTGAAAAACTGCTACAAGTATAATACTACTCCACCAGTTTTAAAATTCGTCTGGATTACGAGTCTATTGCACAAATTCCTGCAGCTTAGGGGAGAGATGAAAGTTTTGCGATGCTTGCTTGTTTGTTTTTTCGAGTCGATCGATCAAAAATTTGTTGTCATTCATCGCTGTCTTGTCAACGAACAGTATTGTGGTTTTTAATCAAGGTTTGTAAGTTTCGTTGGTGAAACTGGAGATAAATTATAGCTAATGTATGATTCGAGGCCTCAAGAAGGAAGGCCGATCCTATACTAAGCTTGGCCTCGGGCTAGGCCTAAAGCTAGGCCTAATTCAGTGGTTTGTTTTTTTTAAACCAACAAAATTTTACCGGTCGGCCGTTTATTTTTACCGGTAAAGTTGACGGCTAAACCGGCGTCGGGAGAACACTGCAACCTTTCATGAAGTTGTCAAGTGTCTCTCATGCATAAGACAACCTCTGACTTTACGAGCAAAGGTTTTGAAATTCTACAGTACTGTAGATTGTCTGATAATTTATGGTAGCCAGCCATTGTAGATAGAAATTTGCTAATTAATTGTAAAATATATTCATTTAAAAATGCTACTTACTTTGCCAAAAATATTGTACAGTACATTGCTGGTAGACATTTTTTTAAATCTAAATATTTTGCTATTTATTTTATGAAAGGAAGTTATTTTTATTTAAATTATTTGTTAAATTCTATTTATAGAAAGGAATGGAGACTTTACCAAAAAATACAACAGTGAAGAAGAGGAAACAGTTCATTGGGTATGTTAAATCATTTTGTTCTACTTTATCTTTCTTTCAGTTTTATTTATTGATAGATAGGATATGGTAGAGTCACCTATCAACTACTACTAATCCTATCTTTTAACATGGAAAAAGAAATATTTATTATATTTTCTTCCTGCTCTTACCATCATCACAAATCTAAGATTTCAATTTTCTGTTCATAACAAAGTGGCAAACGTTATCAATTATTTCAATTATTTTTCAGAATTTGATAAGCAATTACATATCAGTCCAATTACTTATCATTTCCTTAAATTACAGTAGTCGTTCTTCTTTCCTGTCATTCAACTACTTTATATAGGTTTTTTTTTTTTACTCCGTATGTGAACCAGAAATTGACAAAGTTCATCCCCTCAAAGTCTTTCAATTTCCTAGAGTAAATTCTTTAATCCATAATATATTAATATTTGATCCTTGAGAATGGTTTTCATATTTGTACAGAAGTTTATCAATTTTCTTTCTTCAAGAATTTTATCCTCAGGTTGTAGACCTTTTTATATTAAAATTGCTTCCATTATTTTAGTCCGAAGGGAATCTGTTGGTTATTCATTCTGTTTGTGGTAATTGCATAAAATCTTCCATGCATTATGTAATGGAGGTCATACTGTACTGTACATTAACCCTTTGAATATTGGTGAATTTTCATACTTGGCTAAAAACCCATCTGAATCCAATTGTTAATCAGAATTGGTTGAGAAATTTTGTTAATCAAATTTAAAAATACTGTACATATTGTACAGTCGTATAGTAAATTTGTACTTACAGTCAATGATAAATTGTTTGCTTACAGTTATAGTATATATTCTTGGTATCTTATTGCTCAAAAATTAAAAATACAATAGCAGCCATTGGCTGAATTGAAGTATTCTTATTACAGTTTAAAAACTAGAAATTGCAAATTGCAAGTGCTACGAAGTACAACTGCATATAAATGTTCTTCAAACAAAATTATTTATGCGAGTCAAGTGAAAATAATGAATAATAAAAATATAACAAATAATATGAGACACGACCCATTGTCTATATTAGAACACTTCTCATTGGGTAACAAAGTCGTAATTTTTCATTTTTGTCAAAAAGTGTCCATAGTGGTGAATTATGGTTTAGGTTTTTTTTAATAAAGTTTCAAAAATTTCTATGTATGTGGAAAATATAGTTGATTTAACCAAAGGTTAAAATTTTTATTTTGAAGACTGCATAATCTAGGAAGTGTACATTTTTGTATGGGGCAAGTTTCCAAGGGCGGGTTTTCTAGGGGCGAGTTGACTGCCAAAGAGTGTTGCCAAAGTTATTATTATTAGTTGTTATTACAAAGTGTTATTTGATCACAAGTGCGAGACATCGCAAGTGTGAGCCAGCAAGCCATGACGTCATGACAATAGATACGAGACGTTACTCAAGTTGTGCGAGGTATCGGCTGAGATTTGTGGAGTACAATTCAAAAAACAACTATAGGTCTAATAATGAATTATTGTGAAGTTAAATAGACAATGTTAGCTATCAAGGAGCGACGTTGTTTTTCATTGGGACCTTCGTCTCTTCAAGGCTAGGCCTATACCATCCTAGCTAGTCTAGGCCTACAGAGTAGGATAAGGCTAGCGCGACATGCGGACATTGGTACGTGTTGGTTAGTCTACAAACGTCGCCTAAAGTAATTGATTTTACCCGGCAGAACAAAAGAAGGAAACTCCGCTTTTCAGTCATCTTTAGGCCCTTGTTTTTTGACAAACAATTACCTTTCAGAGGTCAAATTGCTGTCAAGAATATGAATTGGCTGCTTCGCAGCAATAACAATGCACAAAACCAATAAAAGAAATACAAAATACAAAAATCTCAATAATCTCAATATAAAAGATTAAATATTAAAATATAAAGACCAAATCAAATTAATATTAAATACAATTAAAAATTAAGTTCAACAATTGCAAAAAAGAGGAACCATTACACAAAAACCACAACCATTAAAAACAGACGATACCTAAACCTAATTGAAAAACAGTAAATACAATTAAGGATTAAATACAACATAAAAAAAACATACAAATTTGACAGAAAAAAAGACACATCATGCACTCTTTGTATTTCATTAGAAATATAGAAAAGTTTTTTTTTTAATTCATTTGAGATTGTAGAGTAATTTAAAGGGGCCAGCATATGAGAAAATAAGATTAGGTGTTAATAAAATATCCATGTCATCATGTAATAACATAAGTTTAACTTTAGGTGTTGATAACAAGTTAATTACTATAGTTTCATCTATTTCTTATGTGCTGATTAAGCCTAAACATTTGCTACTTGTTAAATGTGCAAGCTGTGTTTTCTTTTGTTTTCCTGTCCTTGGTGCAAACAATGCCTACCTGCTTCCTTTTGATATGTAAAATACTGTAGGCCTACCTAATTTTCAAGTCAACAGTAAAGAAAATAATAAAGCCAAAGTCATTTAAGGCAGAACCTTGTTAAAAAATCAAACTATAATTTCAAGAGCTCATATTTCAGAAAAAAAACAGGACGGGACAGGTTCTCGGCCGGCCAAGATGGCCAAGCAAGGCGGCGATGGAATCGAGCATACACTAGCTTCCTACAGTACAGCCAAATAATATTGCAACATTTACTACGCGTAAATGTCGTAGACATAACGTAAGATTTGCGTATGTGTAGGCCATGTAGGACGTAGAATAAACAATCCTCTACACGAACCTTACGCGTAGAATGTAGTTCAGCAAACGTACGTTGTAGGGCTAAGATGAACGTAGGCCGCGAACCGACCTAACGTAGGGACACAGAATTGTTTATGTTTTTGTTGGTTCAGTCTACCGTTATAATTTAACATGAATAAACGTTGTAGTGTACAACTGAATTAAGATAAAACAGGTATCGTCTAATTGCAAGTGTCTTGTGTATTTTATTGTTCTAAAGTTTAGCTTTTACAATTTAAGATAATTATCCTAATTAATATGTTCATCTGTTGGTTACCTTAACAAGGTCTATGCGCTGTGCTTGTAGATAACCATGTGTAAGCCTACGCTCACTCTGTATCTTCTCGCTATCCTTCAAAACGTCTAGCTACCACATAATACTACTAGAATAAATTCCAGTTTTTGTAATACATATTCCTTGATCAGATGAGATAGCATATTTACAAAACTGATATAAATAGTAATACGCAAAGACACTATATCTATGGAAAAAAATAAACTAGTTTTGCTGAAGCAACCTGATATACCAACAAACAACGAGCACATGGGATGGAATGTAAGTGCGTCAGAAAAAAACTTGGTCGACTGCCAAAAAAAGCATGCAGGGCAAAAGGTTACCGCTAGCATTTGCGCTTTCTAGTCAAAGCGGCAATAAGTCAAAACAGCAATTACCAAACCGGCTACACTTTTTTTTATTACTGTAGAACAGCAATGGACCAAAACGGCAAGAAACCAAATAAATAAATAAATACAAATTAAAAATACAGACAAAATGAGGATTTAATAATAATAATTATTATTATTAATTATTATTATATTTTACGTGTTACTGTATGTATTACTAAATACCAGCAATCCACAAGGAAGATTCAAGCCGATCTAGAGGCAGCGTGAAGTTGGCCCTCATCCAAACAACAAATCACCTGCCACTAATCTAGGTGAAAGGTTAAACATGTGCTTCATTTTGTTTTGCGTCAATTTTTACTTGCTTTCTACTTCCTCTGAATACTCAATTATTTGTCTATGTGGTAATAAATTTATTACATAAAATGTTTATTAATTATTGCTTTAATTTTTTATGAATTATTATTAACATATGCAAGTTAGGTAAATAAATTAAAAGTTGAAAGTTTAAATCGCCTTTGTGCTAGCGTGATAAGAAACCATTCAACCGAACAGAGCGCGACTCTGACACTTGAAACATGAGATGGTATGGAGCACATGGTTTGTTCCCAACTGTAAACATCGACTGCATTACGGGTATAACGACAAAGAAATTTATTACACCGTGGTTTTAAAAGTCTTAATAAAAATATAAAAGACGAACTAAAACAAGCTGTGGTTTTATCATAAAAAATATTGCAGTTAGGCGTAGGCTATACTGCTGTAATAGTTTATCATCACCATAGCGACTGAACCGAAACGACCCAACCAGGACCGAAATGACACTCACTAATTGAGAGGGCCTAGCTAGGTCTAGGCAGACTCCAGATCAACAAGTTTGCACTTACCAAGGATTTTGTCAATTTCTTGGTAGTATGGGCAATCTTTTCGTTCCCTGCCAGACCTGTCTCTTATACACATCTGTAAATGTCGTAGACATAACGTAAGATTTGCGTATGTGTAGGCCATGTAGGACGTAGAATAAACAATCCTCTACACGAACCTTACGCGTAGAATGTAGTTCAGCAAACGTACGTTGTAGGGCTAAGATGAACGTAGGCCGCGAACCGACCTAACGTAGGGACACAGAATTGTTTATGTTTTTGTTGGTTCAGTCTACCGTTATAATTTAACATTGTTGCATTTGGTGCACGTGTGAATTGGGTAATTGGTTCACTCCTGCAGTTTGGAGCGAGCAAAACAAAATTACAGTGGCATGTGCAATGCCGAAAACCTGTTATACTAAGCCCATCTGTATGATTCTTGTGAAAAATTAAAAAATTTAGCAACTATTTCATTCACATCCAATAGCGAGTAACTTCCCAAATTACCAAAGTTGTTTTTAGTTGTGAGAAAAAGTTCTGCTGTCATAGGGATTGAACCCCTGACCATCAGGTGATTAGAAAACAAGCATTTTCACCACTACCTATACAACTTCACTCTAGAGGAGTCTGAAGATTTTTCTTACCACATTTTTATAGTTTGTTTTTTCATGTATTCATTCATTCTGGTTTATTATTAAAAACAACAAAAATTGACATTGCAGTATTGAACTGAATTGCGTCAATCTAACAAAATTAAGCAAGACAACACAGTATATATACATATAAAAAGTATACAATATAAACATTTCAAAGATAAAAATTGCAACAATCACAAAAGACCACATGCTCATGAGCAATGAAAAAATCAAGTCAAATAAAAAAAATTACCATAAAATTGATTCTTAAAAAAAGATCATTAAGAAAAAACAATAGAATTACAATTAAAATTTACAAAATTGAGATAAAATTACATTAATACAAAAATAGAGGAAGGGAATGTCAATTTAATTTAATAATATGTAGAAGACAATTGAGTGGAGTTAAAAATAATTTCAAATATAAAAATATGAATTATTGCAGCTTTAGTATAAACAGTTGTCAACAGTTTGTAAAGGGCAAAGATGATTTCTAAATCTTTCGGTTCAACACACATATACAGTAGATATATCATTGCTATTTCTCAAATTAATATGAGTTGCTATGTTACGACGAGGTGGTAGATATTCAGGCAATGCCCTGGGGACAGTCAATCCAAATTTACAGACCAGCTTGTATCTCCCATCACTGAGTCTGCAGATTGAATCGTTTTAGGGAGGCGGTAAGTATACCGCCGACCTAACACAATTCGACAAAATATTTGTGTTTGTATTGCATGTTGCACTAGTTCACACAAATGTACTGATTTTCACATATTAAATTTAATTTTCTTAGTGACACATGTAAGCTGCACTACAGTGATTCTCCACTCAAGATCGTGCGAGGAGAGGGGCAATACTTGTACGATGAGAAAGGGGGAAAATACTTGGACTGCATCAACAATGTTGCACATGGTATGTATAATATCTTATGCCTAAATAAGTGATGCCCACTTTAAAATGCCTGCATAAGTGATGCCCACTTATGTAGTAACTGTTTAGCTTTTTCATTTGCTTAACTTCTTGCATTTAAATAAAATCATACATAATAATTATAGGCAATGATAATTACGTGTATAGAAAATCCTTAAATGACCAAGAAGAATAGCACCTGAAATGTCCAAAAAACAAACAAACGTGTTGTCCTACAAACAAGTTTGTTTACATACACTTTGCACTATTGCTTTGTGAGACCTTACCAAGAATGTCCAAGGGGCCAGTGCTTAAAGTTTGGTCTATTTAGCGAAATATGAACATGAATCCATATAAAAGGTCCACACTCACCAGCTACTAATTAGACATTTTTTGTGTTTGATAGTTTTGTAACAAGTGACATTGAATAAAATTAAAAGTTTGGTGGATAAAGTTATTAATTGAGTTATATTCAGCTTACTTTCCATTTTGAATGGTCAACCTTTAGTGGTAATCATTGATAGCTAAAAAGGTTGATGGTGATAGTGCAGTCCCTAAACAAAGGAAGCATACATTTCCATTATGTACCAATTAATATTCTTTTTTGTTTTTGTTTTTATGCTAAAAGACCAAACTTTTAATTGTTCTATTGAAATTTGGGGTTATTTTGGGGGGTTTTTTGTACATATTGTATTGTTTAAAAAGCATACATAAAAAAATATTGAAATTTTATTTTATTTTTGTTGGTAGGTAGAAAAATTGGTCTGTATAGTTATATTTTTGTAATTGGTTATTAAATGGTTTGTAAATCATTTTAGGAATTGCTAATTAATTATATTTTTGTAGTTGAATTTATAATTGAATAAAATGTAAATAATAAATTTGATTTAATTCATGTTTAGGTAATTGATAATTTATGAATTTTTTCACTTTATTGTCTAATGAATTGCTTGTAAATTGTATTTTTGTTGTTGAATTTTTAATTCAATTAAAATTAGTGATATTGAATGGAATTTTTAATGAATCACTTTTAAATAATATTTTTGTAAATTTTAAAATTAATTATTTAATGTATTGTAAGAAATCAATTGAATATCGCCTTCAAATAATTACTGTATATTATTCAAATTATTTATTGTTTTCAATATATTATTGAACTTTTTTAATACTTTGCCTTTAAATAATTATTCTAATTATTTATTTTTTCAATATATTATTGAACCTTTTTTTTATGCTTATTATCTTTTATTTTTGTATCTTACATTTGTATTTTGTTGTTTTGATCATTGTTTCTTTACTTATGTTTGCCTTGGAGATTTCTTGATAGTGTTCACTTTTGGTAATCCTTGGAGGACTTTTGGTTGTATTTTTCTTCATCCTGAAATGTAATAAAATAATAAAAAAGACGGACTGTTTGTACAGTAGCTGTACTATAATTTAACACAATAGGTTCTCAATTTGACCTAACTGTCAGGTCAAATATATTCAAAGCAACCTGTAGGGCATTAAAGTCAGGAAGTTATAGAGATTCTTATACTGTATAAAAAATATTTTTAAAAAAATAAGTGTTTAGTGATGTTGCACTCATTCCATGAAGAAAATATATAATGTGTCATTTTGGTTGTTCTAATGAATACACTCTCATTCCATACACATTTTTATTGTAATTGCATGGGTTGGTATTTAGAATACTTCCTATCTTTACTGGGATCATTAACAGTCCTTTTTGCATAAAGTAGCATCTATAGGTGGTGATGCATTGTAAAAATATCAGGCCTACAGGTAGATGTATTTGGTTTGTTTTGAATGTAGGCGCTGTTGGGATTAGTCCCACACAATTTTTCTATTAGGTTCACAAAGAATGGGTCCAGATTTTCTTATATTTGTGTAAAATGGGTCAATTTTTAAGGAAAATAGTCCACATTATTTTAATTACGCGTAAAGTGGGTCCACCCTGATATTGCTCCACACAGTTTAAAAATCCTGGCTACTGCATTGGTTATCGGAATTAAATCTGTTATCTACAGGTATTAAAATTTGTGTATACTGTAGATGCATCAATGTTTTTAACATACTCTGTAGACTTAACAGCCTTAGCGAGGTCTAAGATTGCCGAAGTACAGTACTGTACTACACAGATGACAGACAGGAGTAGCGGTTTACCAGGGTAGCTCAGACATGAAGAGACCCTTAGGGGAGAAAAAAGTTACTATACGGCTAGTCCACACATCAAGCATTTGAGACTCCGGTATAAAGCGCTATATAAGTCAAACTACATAATACATTAATTTTTTTTTGCATGAGTATGCATTCACATGATTGCGTAAATGTATTTTGTTGCATTTTTGTTGTGTGAATTTGTAATTAGAAAACCACAATATAATGAACGACTTGACTTTTCAACAAAGACTTTCGAAACCTGGAACCAGTATGAACTGGTTTAAAGTCAGACAATACTGGGATGCCTGCCAAGTTGTTGGGCAGTTTGTTATGATGTAATTTGCTTTCCGTCTATTTTTCTCGTGACCCTTGGACCTTATACAAAGCTATCACAGATAGGATTGCTCCAGTACATGACTGAAGCATTCACATGACTGAAGCATTCATGTGTGTACAGAGAAATACAATGGTGAAAGTAGGGATTCAAAATACACTGATTTAATTTTATGCTGCTTTAATTTTTATGCTATAAACTGGTCTACCTACAAATATAAAAATAGAAACACCACTGGAATATATAATAAGTAGTGTCAAACTTGGTAGTCATCTCATAACCAAATATTTTTTTACAATAAATATTGACATTTATGATACTATGATACTGATAGCGAATATTTGCAGTACACACATAAATAGATTTGTGTTACCGAAAATAATCTCTGTTGTTTATTTGCCATTTAAACCTTCAAATAATTACATTAATGATAACACTTAGATCTTCATTGATTGGTATACAGTTCTAGGTCAATTTTATCTTTGTTGACAGAATATACAAATATACTCTTTTTTCCAAGGTTCCGAAGCAATACAATCATGATAAATATAAAGATAGATTGCTGTGCAATTATGCTAATAATAGAGGTTATGCACACTACCGGAAGATTTTATTTTATGTCAAATCTCACCCAACCAACAGCAGGTAGCCCATCACTTACAGAATAGGAAGAATGAAATATAAATACTGTACATGTATGTGAAGATATATAAATGGAATACTCAAGTACAGAAATCATAAACACATAACAGGCAAAAAAATAACAATAGCAAAAACAATTTTAAAAATCATTAAAAACAAAATTTAAAGTGAAGCAATAGAACAGTAAGAATGACGATGATGGTACTTATAAATTATAATACAGGATGCAATGTTAATGAATATAAAGAACGTATAGACACAAGGCTGAGTCGATATATTAACACAGTAAGTATGGGCTATAATAAAACATAGATTATAAATATTTTTTATGATTTATCTTAAATTATTTTAAAACAGATGTATGAATTATTCACCAGAAAATATCTGATCTCATGCAAGATGTGTTATATAGTAGTTGATAGCCTATGTTGTCAATAAGCATGCACTATTTAGGGAAAATAATGTCTTCCACCAAAGTAAAACGAATCTTATTATCATTTTCAGTTGGACATTCTCATCCAGATGTTGTAGAGGCCGGTGTAAAGCAGATGCGTTTACTGAATACAAATTCGCGTTTTCTTCATGACAATCTCGTAGAGTATGCAGAGAGAATCACAAGTACACTGCCTGAGAAACTATGCATCTGTTTTATGGTCAATTCTGGGTATGTATGCTTCATTCACCAAACTTGAATTTTGGGTCTCCATATTATTTCTCACTGGGGAGGTTGAGTCTGTCTTATACTGTATTCCTAATACTGTTCCTGGTATAATATAAGTTTAGTTTGTGTACAAGTAATTAATGCTGGTATAATTATGGATGGCCTGCTTCAATTATGGTGTGTATGGACTGCCATTTAGACTTCTATTTATAGTAATAGTTACCCACATTGAGATTTCAAGTCACTTCTAACTTTGTTAAGTCAATTAAATATAGAAACCTAAATAGGATATTTTATTATTTGGACATTAATTCACATGAGATGGTTTTACATAATAAAAGTAAGCATAACTTTTAGACTAACCTACATACACGTTGTCACACTCATGGTACAATCAACCATAAATTGGACCAGGTATAATTTTATAATTCAAAAATGTTAATATTTCAATAATTGATTATAATAAGTGATTATTTTCATAATTGTTTGATTTCAGATCTGAGGCAAATGATCTTGCCTTGCGCTTAGCAAGGGCCCACACTGGCCACCATGATGCTATAGTCCTAGACCAGTAAGTACTTTCTTTGTTAATGCTATTTGAATGCTATATTATGTTTATAAAAAGCTATTTTCCTAGACTAGTATTTAATGCTTTCTTCATGAATACTATTGATTGGTATTGTTCTAGACCCCGACTCAGATCCAGGGTTCACCCTGACTATCGCACAGATGGGTTCATAGGTGTAGGTCCACAGTGACAAACACTTAGCCGGTCTGAGGATTTTAAAGCAGATTTTAGGCTAATTTTTATCATTTCTATTAAAAAGGAATAGTATGAACATGGGGGGTGTGCTCTATACTTTTTAAATTTTAATCTCATCCTGACCTTCGCCGCACTGCGAATGGTGCGAAGGTCTGGATCCACGCATGTAGACCAGAGTATTTATTTTATTATGCTATAAATTGCGTGCTGTTCCTAGACTAGTAAATACTTTTTTTCACCAATGCTATTTGTTGCTGTTGTCTAGACCAGTGTAAGTACTTTGTCAATGCTAAATAGATTGTTATTGTTCTAGACCAATAGGTACTCACTATATCATTGCTCTGAATGCTGATTGCCCTAGACTAGCAAGTACTTACGTAATCAAGTACTTTTCTCATTTAATAATTGCCCTTCTTTATTGCCAATGTGGCTGTCATTTGTTGTCACTGCAAGTGAATCTTGGTCACTGTTTTTATGTCTCTGTAACTATTGTTTAACTTTTAACCACATATTTCTTTGGCTGTCTTCAGGTTCTCCAATTTTTCTTTCTAGATCACTTAAATAATGATCACTTAATTTGTGTTTGGATATCTGTTTCATAAAAATAAATCAGCAGTAGGAGGTTGAAATTACATTGATTAGGATAGACCAGTGGCATATGTAGGGTGCACCCCCACCTCACTGAAAATGTTCAAAGCAAAAAAATCAGGCTCAAGTAGTTAAAAATCACCTCATGTCACCTTATTTCTCCCCGCCCTCACTTAATCATCGAGCCTCCACTTCACCTTTGTTCCTTTCCTATCATCAAAACCCCCCCCCCACCCAATTTCAAGACTAGATACACCACGGGAATAGATACAGGCATGTTGATTTACTTAACAAGTTTATTAAGTATTTGCTGTGGTTAGCTTGTGTTTACCTATTGAGGGGTGTGTACTGATTAAACCTACAGGTACCTCAAGTCATAGCATCAATTAACTCTTAACAATAATCCATTCTCTTGACTATTTACACAGTGCATACCATGGGCACGTGTCAACCGTAATGGACTTGAGCCCGTATAAATTCAACCAGCCATGGGCCAAAGGCAACCACCATAAAGAATGGGTGCATGTTGTAAGTATTTTCTTTTCCATCTGATTGCTGACCTGGAATATTCAAATTTTACAAATACTGTTGATGCTGAGCAGCTAACCCATCTTGAAACCAAATAAATAAAACAGCAAACATGAGGCTTGTTGTGGCAAAATGGCTAAGTTGTAGCAAAAATTAAAATTCAAGTTATTGGTATTTTCAGATACCTGAGTATGTGATCTATAAAATGAGGGGTCATTCATTGAAATTGGACATTTCAAGCCTAAGTTATTGGAAAGTGAAAGTACAGCACTCTTAGAGTCAAGATAAACATGATTTTGAGTAATTGCCTTCCAAAGTTATTTGTGCATACATTGTTTGATAGAATTAACTATCTAAATAACATTAAATAGACGATTTGTTGACCACTTCCAGAACTAATACTTTGTTTGTTTGTTTAATTTATTCCTCCACACACATGAACATAAGAACATACATTCCAAAAGCTTAATAGTAAAACCAACTAAGAATAAAAGTACATTACAAAATAAGTGTGTGGAAGGAGGCCAAAATAAGTTTAGAATAAAATAAGTTAAATATATACTTTGGGACATGATTAATAAGACATTAAACTATAGTGAAAGAAAAATTTATAGCTCATTTACTCAATACTGGCTTGTGCGACAACTTAACCATTTCGCCATGACATGCCTCACATATGCTTGACATCATCTTTGTTTTGTAAGATAATCTTAGAAGTAAATTTCTATTTTAATTGCTAACTTTGTATATAGGTTATTGGCATTAAATTTCAAATTATATTAAGAAATTATTATATAATATATAATTATCATTCCTATATTTTTGGCATAGACCCATGCCAAAAAGGTTATTAATTGAATCAAATAAAAAAGTTGTACTTTATGGATGCCATATTATTAATATTTGATAAAATATAAAAAATATACATGTTCAATTATAGTACTTCTAATGAATATTCCTGATGCAAACAACATTTAGGTCCCACCTCCTGACATGTACCGAGGTAAGCATTGCGATGCTGAAAAGCCTGGTGAAGAATATGCTAAAGAAGTGAAAAAAGTCATCAACAAAGCTCATATTAAGGGCAGGAAGGTATTTTTAATACCATGTTATTTATTTATGAAGAAAGTTTATTAATAATATGTTTGTCTTATATAGCGCTTCACATTACTACCCCGGTCATTGGATCAAACTTGTACGGAACACATACTCAGCACCCTGGGGAGAATTCCATAATATTGCAGCTAGTAATCAGCCAATTGTGTTCGAAGTTACCAGGTACCCACTTGTACTCCTGGGTGGAGAGAGGCAACAAAAGTGCCCTGCCAAAGGACACAAGCAGTTTGCACAGTGAGAGTTCCGAACCCCAACCTCGAGGTTGGGAGCCCAAGCCACAACCGATGCGCCAACTGCTTCTACATAATATTAAAAATGTTTTTAATTTGATTTCGGCATTATCTCAGTCTGTCTTGTTTTTCCTGTATCTGATATCCAAACGTGAGATACCAGTAAATGTGATACAGGAGGTGATAACAAGTGTTCTTATTAAAACTAAATAAATAAATAAATAAATTTTTTAAATATGTTGTTATGCATTGAGCTGTGCCTTCTTTGGAATCCATGGCCCCATGTAGAGGACTAGATTTAAATCTTTAAATTGAAGAATATAAAAACTAATCTGTAATATAAAATCTTTAAATTATATAGTAAAAGATTCAAATCTTTTTTCCTGTAATTTATTTAATTCTCTCAAATGGAACAAATTGAAGTTTATTTAATGGTATTTATGCTCATTCTGTAATATGTGTTTACACAGTTGGATATTTTCAATAAAATGCAAATGTATAGTGAATCATAATGTAGGTGTGCCTGCTGTACTTTGTTCTTGAAGGTTTAAATTTAAACAGTCTAATATCTTTATCATGGGCATCCCACTATATAGAAATTATGATTCTGGATTATTGTAGCATATATAATTTGGGAGTACTATGCGCTGGCAAATAAACATTGCGGTTTTGTTAATAATCAATAATATTTTGTACAAGGCCCATATTAGGTCAAAGAGTGGCAAGCAGAGAGGTTGTGAAAATCCACCTAACATTGACCATAAAATATTCTAGAAACCACCAAAGACAGAAAATTGACTAAAAGTTGATGTACCAGCAAAACTGCTCTGTTACTAGCAGTGGTGGAGGGCTCAGTTACAGAAAACTCACAGGAAATCAAATTATAATATCAGTAATACTAATATCAATTGTAGTATCTAACTAGTGTATGCTATATAAAGAAAAGTTATATACATGTTTAAGTACCTGTCGTGATTATGTCTACTGATTAAAAACCTTAATTTGTTGTTTTTTTTTATCTCCTAGATTGCTGCATTTATTGCTGAATCATTACAGAGCTGTGGAGGTCAAATTATTCCTCCTCCTGATTACTTCAAAAATGTCTTTAAGTAAGCGTATATGTAAAAGATATCAGAAATAGTTTTTGTTTTGGTTATATAGCTGCAGGAAAATATCTTGAATTAGGAGTACTGAAGTAGATATACATAAATAGGACTATCCTGACATTGATTTAAAAGCATTGTATATTCACCAGGGGTCCACATGAGTTTTTTTTTTTATGGATGTAACATATTTTTTGTTTGTTTTGTTTGTTTATAATAATTATAAATGTAAGTTAAAGGGACAGCTGAGACAAGGCTTCTTAACTGGTCCCTCACCACTGTGCAATCACTGTTTTGATTTGTTTTGTGGGTTGTATTTTTTGGTGAAAAAAATATTGCGTTGAATTGAATTGAACCTTTAGATGATAAGAATTTGCACTCTTAAATGCTTTCATGTTCAACTTACCAATTAGTGTATCAGTCTATCGCTCTTTGACAATACCATTTTTATTGATTATCCTAAATGTTGGTGTCAAATATTCAAAGCCTAGACATTAGATAATATAATACATGTCACTCATCTGGTTTGAAAGCTTTATTCAACCAAGGACATTTGTCTATTCAGCTCCAATTAAACATTTTTAAAACAACCTGTTCAACTTGTAACAAAACCTTTATGAAAGCTGAAAGGAACCATCAAGGAATAACTTATTCCTCCATGCTGAAGTAATTTTAATTATTCATAACTGGGCTTTTTAATTGATAAACTACTAAAATACTAATAATTACAATAAGTATTTAGATATAAAATACATCAGAATTTCACAAAAATATAATTCAATTCCATCAGGATTTAAATAATTTAAATAATTGCACAAGTAGAAATTACTATTATTTCATTGTTATTACAGTATTATTACATTAATAATATTTAGGAGCAATTATTATTGCATTTGTAATTTTACGAACCATAACTTTTCTCATTGTAATTTCCCGTTTAGACAAATAAATTTAAATTAAATTGGATTGAATTATTTTTTATTATTATATTTTTCTGTTGAGTATTGTAGGTTATATTGCTCAGGTCTATGTATATAAATGTATGCTATAATTAGCAGGTCACTCATGTTAAGTATGGTTTAAACAAAATAAATATAATATTCTTAGCTTAAATACCAGCATATGCCACCATCTACCTGCCATTTCCTTCTAGTTGACTAGCTTGTATTGAGGATGCATGTTTAATGGGTGGACAGTTTAAGTAAACATTACTACGTGCATCATTAATTCCCACATACAAATTGCATTCACCAGCTATAACTCAAATTTGCATATTCAATCTCACTTCAAAAGACTTGACTAAAGCCTTGATAGACAGTATTAAGGGTCAATATTACTCACCTACACTTGGTAACTAACCATGTAACAGTAATAAGTATTGACCTCAAATTTGTTTACCTGTTCAGGTATGTCCATGAAGCTGGTGGTGTCTGCATCTTAGATGAAGTACAAGTAGGATTTGGACGTGTGGGCTCCCATATGTGGGCTTTCCAGCTTCAAGGGTCAGGTAAGCATCTTGACTTTTAAATTTTACTTAATATTTCTTAAATTGTTGATGTTATATCATTTATATGCAACCAACTTATTTAGGATACTGTCTGTTTATTTTGTCTATGCATATTTCAATCTGTGAATGGAAATATTTTTGTAAATTTTCTAGAAAAAAAAATTAAAAAAAATAATCAAATCATCAGTGGATTTATAGTTTTTGAACAACATAAAATTTTCCAAAAAATATTGTTATTTATAAATTATTTATTACTTTTATGGTTTTTAAAGTGATTGCTGTGCATATTGTGTAGTCAAAAATATTTTAATATAATTTGAGTTTTGTCACCAGTAAATTTCATTGCATAAAATAGATTTTAATGTTTTGTTTGTGTATTCTTGTTATTAAATATCAGAAAACTTGTGTTAAATTGGTGAAGAAAAATACAAGTAGTAATTGGCATTTATAGAATACACAGATATGTGTAAATTTCTTAATGTTTAATTCTCTATTGAGAAAAAAAATATGAACTAAAGGATTAGTAAGAGATTCTATTGAGAAAGCTATATAAAAAGAAACTATATATCGCCATCCCCCCTCTGCTTTGTGGATTTCTGCATGGTTTTGCCCATTTTCAGATGTCATTCCGGACATAGTCACGATGGGTAAACCCATGGGTAATGGCCACCCAGTGGCAGCTGTCATTACAACTACAGAAATAGCAGCAAGCTTCGCTGCTGGAGGATACCAGTACTTCAATACAGTAAGTGGTGTGCATCAGATGACTGCACATTACCGAGTTTCTGACGGTGGTCAGCGGATGTTCTCCCTCTGATTTGATGCCCTCTCTTTTTGGAGTGGTGAATTGAAATCTGATTACACTTTTTTCATATTTTGTATTTACAACTAATTTAAACATTAATACATGTAGTAAAAATGTTATTCAATATTCCTTAATTAAAAATAGTAATAGTAAATAATAATAAATACCATTAAAAAGAAGAAAAAAAATCTTAAATCGTTTATTCAGGAATAAAGCATTCTGATTGTGCATAAGAGTGGAGTTGACTATATTTGTCAATTGGAAACGAAACTATTTGATTCAAAGTTAATATAATGCTAAAGGATACATTCCTTTAAATTAAAATTAATTGATCATGTGAAACATTTATTACTCAACTGCCTTAATTTCCTCAATAATTCTTAGCAATTTTAAAAATCTTTGTTGCTGAGAATAAAAAATAGTTAATAATATTATTTGCAGTTTTCAATGTTATGCAATAAAAGTATAGTAATGAAAAACAAATATTATATCTTTTATATATAAACATAAATTGTTTTTCATTTATTGAATGAACATTGCTTTTTTTGCTAGTCTAATCTCATGAAATAAAAAATGGATTACACCTATACATGTCATATTTATGAAAAAAATTATGATATGTATTCTCTGTAGAAGTACATTTTGAAAAACAATAGTAAACCAACTATAGTTGCTAATTCTAATTTATGAAGTAAGAATTAGTTAATGCATAAATGAAAACTGATAGTAGAAAATTATTGAATTTAGAAATAAAGTTTGTACTGTTTATTAGGAACATTAAGTAAGTTCCTAATAAAGGTAAGTATATAGAGGAATGTTTTAATAAATAAATCATTTAATTGCGAAAAATACATATTTATGACTACAAATAATTAATGTTTAACACCATGTACTGTAACTAGTCTTCATGTTAAATACATTGAGTGGTTGATCCATATCAATGCTATTTTAAAATACATTTTGATAATTTTTGTACTATTGTATACCTATTTTTACACACCAACCTTGTTATGTTGAAATTTACCATTTAATTTGAATATATTTATGAAATCTTGTACCATATTGGTGCATAATACAATTCAAGTCTGCATATTTTCTTTAATAGTTCTTTAAAAACATAAATATGGTCTCCCTGCAATTAAAGACCACTCTTGGGACTGGGGTTTTCATGGTGTTTAGCAGCTTTGGTCTCTAATTAGAGAAATAAATGTAATAGACATTTTTTAATTTGGAGCTGCAGAAAAGTGGTCTTTATTTGGAGGTGGTCTTTAATTAGAGTGATCTTTAGTTAAAGGGAAATATTTACATATGTACTATGCAACTCAATTATATTTAATTAAGTGTATACTATGGATTTATAAACAATGTTGATACTTCTATTGTTCATCAGATTGTTGAAATCTTGTGTATTTGAATGTTTTCAGTATGGGGGTAACCCAGTGTCGTGTGCTATAGCAAATGCTGTACTGGATGTAATCAAAAAGGAGGACTTGATGGGACATGCCATCACTGTTGGTAACTTCCTTAGAGATGAATTCATTAAGATGATGGATGAGTTTGAGGTAATTGGAGATGTCAGGTAAGCAGCTTTTGATCAACATTGCCTATTTTTAGCACACAACCTTTGTATTCATGGCTTTGTTTCTTTGTGTTATTCAAAAAGAAGTTTTTAATATAAATTCGTGACAAAGACAAGCCAAACCAGTCAATCGCCACAAATCCTGTTTTGGAGGTAATGGCCAAAACATGCTCGAATGTTAAAATTTTGGAAATCTATTTTATTGCACTAAACTAACCTTTATACATCTATACATCATGCTAATGCTGGGTTTTTTCCCCATTTTCAATGCTAAACCAAAAATTTTTAATGATTTGGTGATGGTTTCTGCCTAATAAATGCCTAAAATCGTAAATTTTGAAGGCTGATTTCTCAAATATTGTTTTTGAAACAGCTGTATGTTTAAACTCCTGTAACTTAGTAACAAAATGTCGGATTTAGTGACTGAGCACTTTCGCTTGTCTTTGTCACATATTCCTCAAAGGTTTGCAAATTTTACGTTACTTTATACAGTAATAATCTAGGTGTAATAATAATTATTATTATAATAAATTGATAAAATTGAATTTATAAACAAGTGACGTGTATTGTAATAAAAAGAGCAGTCCAGCATGTTGGCTAAACTGGTGGTAGTACTGTGTATTGGCAATCAATTTCACAACTGCCCTCATGTTTGTGATAGAGGGCTGAGATACGCAAACATACTGCCTGCAATATGGCCCATGTGTATGTTAGAAAATCTGTACCCTAATTGGAAAGAAGACGAAGGGATTGTTTCCTGGTTTACTGACAGATAACTGGCTTAGCTGTTGGTAGCCACTTAACCCTTACACTGCCAGCTCTTTTCTTATTCAGTCAACCAGTGAATAAATGTCAGCAGATAACATTACCTCTAATCCCCTGTGCCAGCTAATTATTTAACAAGGTCACCGTAATGCTTATTTTTGATGATTTGCTCAATAATTCATAAACTATTGAGATTATGAAAATATAAATCTAAAATTAATTACTCAGCATTAGTTGTTTTGTACGTATGTGCTTTTATTTCTGTATTTTATTTATCATTTAGTGAATAAATGATAGGATGTTATCAATAGGCAGGGGCGGATCCAGAAATGTCCAAAAGGGGGGGCCGGAAGTGGGGGCCGAAAGTTGGGCCGATTGAGACAACAGTGTCGTAGGGGGTCTGGGGCATTCCCCCGCGATTTTTTTGTGTTCTAGACGCCCGAACATAACATTTGAGGCATTCTGGGCTATCATTTTTTTCTTTTTCTCTCTTTTTTTTCATTTTTTTCCCTTTTTTTTACCTCCCAAAAGGGAGTATATTGTATAATAGTATATTGGGCCTAGGCCTATTTAATAGCAGATTATGTGTTTTCGAAGTCAAATTACTTACTGATGAAAATCAAAATAATGAATCCTAGGCCTACGTATATTTACTAACATTACCATCACAGTCCAGGCCTAGGCTAGGTCTGCCTAGCTAAGCCTAGGCCCAGAACATCGTTTTCTATGCCAGTTTCTAAGACTCTTTATTATCCAGCACAGCTGTAACAACTACAGAAGAATAAAGTTTCTCAGCATTTTAAAACATCATATTTTCAACTTGCAAAAACTCAACTTCTAACAAAACAACACCCAGCAAGTTTCACATCAAAATGTGCAGAAATTCATTAGCTTTCATATCAAGTAGACACTATTTGGGTTAGTGTTAAAACAGCCCCTCTATGGTCGTTTTTTTTTGGAAGACCTTCACCAATTCGCATTTATGCGAATGTGGCGTTGACTGACAGTGAGCCTATTCCCATTTATGCGGAACTGGCATGCACACCAACTGTGTGGTGTTCGCATTTATGTGAAGATGGCAGCGTAAGGGTTAATGTGCACTAAACAACGGAAAAGCTTGCAGATTTTTGATCCAAGGTTCAATTCTGATCGCTGCTGTTGTATTTCAGCTAGAGAGTTGAAATAATTAGGCCTTTAACCCTCCTTTTTGTCTAGTTTACTACTGTAGTATTATTTTATCATAAATTTTTGTTATTAAAGAAACACTTTGAGTTAAATTTGACCTATAGGAAACCCCCTTTCCCATGAAGCTGGTTGCAGTAGGGTGCCTTCTTTCTGATGAGATGTCCCGTGTGCAATTTGGCTGATGTGCATGTTAAAGAATGCAGTACACTCTTTAGAAAAAGAGTAGGGGATTGTTTGCCCGTGTACTATCAAATTCACCACCAACCCCTCTTGAAACAATTTTTTGTTATCCTTGCTGTGCTTCACACTAAAATCTCATCCAGAAAAAGTGTATGTGCTATTTTCTATGAAGTATTTGCTACTGACACATGATGCTGACACTTTATGGTGTCAGTTGGTTGTTGAGTACGGCTGGTTAAAGTTAGGCACATTAATGCCTTATGAGTTTACATTGTGTGTGCATAGCCATTAGGAATAGATGTAATTCCAGTCACAATGTAAGGTCTAAATCTTTGCCAAGAGAAAAACAATTTTATATACGGTATGCTCTGATGAGGAAATTATTCATTTGTAGTTTTTTTTTTTATTTTTCTTATTTGAATTTTCTCAACTAATTGCAGAGGAGTTGGGATGTTTATCGGTCTTGACCTTGTAAGGAATAGAAGTACAAAAACACCAGCAACTATAGAAGCTAGACATATTGTGAAAAGGTAGGACTTTTTCAGAAAAACTTATTCTTTTCTTTTGAGCACTATAATGTGCTTTATCAAGTCCACTAAACATTACTGTCTGGCCAGCTGTATAGGTGATCAAATCTTTTATACCAGAAATTAGGGCTTTTTCACTGTTAGCTGACCACCACCAACCAGAAGTTGATGGGGGGTAAATAGTAATGGAAATATGTGCTAGTCAACAGTAATACAATTCAATTGTTTTTGTTTTTTTTTACATGCTTATGTCTTGTTCTCTAGGTTGAAGGAAAAATACATCCTTCTAAGTTCTGATGGACCACACAACAATGTGCTTAAGTTCAAACCACCAATGTGCTTATCGATGGAAGATGCCCGCCATCTTTTATGCACTCTTAGAGATGTCCTGCAGGAGCTTAAAGACCTGGAACCAGAGATCATTGCCCTTATGCATCGGGAACCCAAGATGCGTACGAGAAAGAGGGCGCACTCAAGTGAGGATGATGATGACGAGGTTCAATCGACAACATCCAGTGGTATTGGTGTATCCACAGCTAGCTCGCCTGTGGAACCAGATTCAGACAGTGACATCCATTTTCGAGTACCAGAGAAGGTGCCCTGTTTGGAGTAATATAATCAATGCGGAAATTAAATCAACCTACATTAGTATAAACTAAGTATACTTGTAGTTACGATTTTCAAGATAATAATAATAATAATAATTACTTTATTTAAACACGGAAAAACTTGATCACCCAAGGGTGTTTTTCATCAAGGCCGTGCAAGGCCATAAGTGGTAAAATATAAAAATACAAAATACATAACAAAAGTATAAACGTTAAAGAATATGATTAAGTAATAAATGTGATTAAAATGTGAAATTAAATAGTATCTTTGGCTTAAAATAAATAAAAAACATATACATTAATTAATTTAATATACATAATTGATTAATTTAATATCAGAAGTTAGATTAGATTAATGATTTCTTTAGATGTGGATAGTTATGTTATCATTTTTCTTTGATGCTAGTAAATCATTTAACTAGCCAATCACATTATTGCTAAACATCTTTATTTGTGTCTACATAGAGAATTTTACATTCTGAGATACTAGTTGCTGATGTTAGGAATTTATGGCATTATTTTACTTAATTATCTTATTTGCTGCATGACGCAAACAATCTTTTTTCTTTTTTTTTCAAATTGTAATGAAACCTCTTTAAATGCAAGACAATGCAAATATATATTTTAAAAGAGGTGCAATATTAGACTGGTGTGCAGAATAGAGTGAGAGTAAGAAATTGTAATCTACAAATAAGAAAACCTAAATTTGTACTTTGTTTAGAATGATTTGTAGGATGGATGGGCCTTTATATAGTTTGTGAAAAACAACAAAGTGTGTTCAAGTTAGGTGCTGTTGTTACTGATTTTTTGTTTACTAAGAATACTAAGAAAAATACAAAGAAAACTAAGAGAGTCCTTAGCAAGAAACATACACAATGAAAATTAAACTTAATTTTAATACAAACTAACAAACTACTTCAATTGTGTTCGCTCTTGGTGTGAGCCAAAATATGTTGATTTTTTTCTTCATCTGATCCAGCATGTAAGTCACCATTTGGAGTATTTTATTGCTTTGTCACTAAATGGTAATATGTACTACTGAATAATATTTTAATTACTTTATAATTGGTACCACCAAAAAAATCTTATTACTATTTTTATATGTAGACTACAATTATAGTATAAAATACTTGGCCAGTTGTCAATTAGTTTGTGGAAATAAAACATGTTAAAATACATGTTGTTGCCACAATTTACTGTGATTGTGTTATAATTGAGTTATAATTTGTGGTGTGAGTGACACTGCACTTTTTTTTTTGTAAACCGACACATAATTTAGCAGTTACAGTAGTTTCTTCTATTGCTTTTATGTGTTCATTAATGTGTGCTTTATAATTATGTTATATTTTAAGTTTGGCCCCCACAAAGTCTTATTACTATTTGTATATATCACTATAATTAATTTTATAAAATATTTCAATAATTTTCAACTTCCTTAATTTTGAATACAGTATGCAATCCTGGCAATTTTTAAATATTATTGATAATAGTTTAGATTACTGTATCAGAATTTTGACTGGAATTCATTTTTATTGAAATTGTGTCACGCGTGTTAGAAAGTATGCGCTGCTATTATACTATAATTATTAATTGGTAAACCACCATGAAATTTCATTACTATTAATTTTTATAATATTAAGATTCAATTGAAATTTTATTTAAAAGGATCAAATAAGTTATAAATTGCAACTAGAAACAGATCTGGAAAAAAAGAAAAAGTTTTTTGCTGATTATAGACATTTTACTACAAAAGTCTTTACTGTACATTGATTACCAGCACGTTTACAGGTGCAAAAGAATACAGTAAAGTATTATTTAACAGTCCATTAATTTTCTCATTAAAATTTGTAATTGTAAATTAGTAACTGTCTGTTTTGACCTACAGGAAAATTTAATTCTGTATTTTATATTTAAATATATGATATAGAATTATATTTTCCTTTATTATCTCACAACAGGCAGTACATCTTTAATGAGAAATGTGCAATTTTTAGGGTCTACAAATGGCTTATAGATGTTAAGTTGGTGCGCTCCTGGTGAAAAACTACAGATATTAGAAACACAAGATAGAACTTGCCACATAAAAAAAGAACTGTAACACCGAAATTCATGGTGGCAATACAAGAAATGGGGCGCCACTTATGTTGGGATGTAAAAGCTGTGGCGTATATCCGCTTCACTTTTGCTATGCGAGAGTTCTATCATGTGTTTCTAGTAATTACTTATAAACTATATAAATATCCATTTTAGCCGTTATATTTTCAAGGTTGGAAATAATGTAGAAATGACTGTTAAACAGTTCTTTTAATTGTAGGTTTTAGTCGACATTAGTGTTTCAAGCTTAAAGGTGTGGAGTTTTGGTATTACAACAAAGAAAATTTAAACATTTGTCTTGAAGAATTTTATTACGCTTTTCTGTTTTTCATTGTGAAGCAAATCACTAATAATACTTATATGTTACTTGATAATCAAGTAGATTAATAAAATCTTTAAATTACAGACCATCTTGGGACTATCACTGAAGCCAGTGGGATTTGAGGGGTTCAAAATAAGTGCCCTTTACAATTATTAGTACAATTTCCATAAACTTTTCTAGGAGGCTCCCCTCACAGTATATTATTATACAATTAATGTAAAAAATGCCACATTATCTTTCTGTAATTTGACATTGGTTGATACTGTATATTATTGAGTTGAAATCTGTAAATTTAAGTGCTATTTCTTGTCACTTTGTTTACCATTTCAATTTCAGTTTTTAGTGGGGCCTGCTGTGAAACACTTCTGTTGGGAGTCAGAAGGCCTGTTGTCATGGGACAAGACATGTGCAATTTAAAAACCAGGGAAATACTGTTTTGGCATCCTTAAATGGACCATAACGTCAGTGCTCTGTTTTGGAGTTTTTGTATTAATATTGTATTATTGAGGGGTCCCTTTGATGGGGAGGTGGCTTAGCTTCACCCCTGAGAGCCCACTGAAGATTGGAGTGATTCAAAGACAAATAAGCGTACTGCTGACATGTTTGTAAGATTCCGAGTTAATTGTAAATAACTGCTATATTAACAAAGAGGAACTGGAAATATATATTATTTTGTAAAACGTTTGTCATTTCTAAGTTCCTAAGAATGGAGTAGCATGCATTTCCAAAAATTTACAAAAATCATTAAAGTGCAAGATAAACAGATTGCTCATCAATATTGATTTATATATACACTACACGAAGGAGTTTCTCATCTTGTATACAGTATAAATATATTAGGGAGCTTTCGATTTGTGCGACGCGAAGCTAGAATGGATTCACTTATGCATGACTGTCCTGCGTTCTGCACAACGTAGATTTGGTAAAATTGTGTTGCAGATTTCAAACGCCAAGGACGTCATCTTGCAATCAAAAGCTCCCTAATGTTGTCGTAAGGACAAGAAAGACTAAATTCATGGACTGCAAATACTAAAAAATAAACTGGACATTGGAAATGTTTGGTGTTAAATCTTTAATTGCAGCAAATTCTACCAGGCAGAAATAAATAGCAAGATGCTTAATGTCAGAAAAGACGAAG